ATCCGGGTCACCGCCTGCACCCTTTGACGCCTCGCGGGGGTCGGCCCTGTCGTCCTCTGGTGCGCATGCCCCCGCCCTCGGCCCGCTAGACCTAGGCGCCGCCTTGGCCTTCTTCCCCGCGGCAGGCGGGCGCCGCGCAGCTCCTCCCACTTTCTTGGAGCGCCCCTCGGCCTCCCGCCCCTTTCCGAGGGCGCTTAGCCTCCGATCCGCCCCCTCATGCGAGCCGACCATGAGACCGCCCTTGATGCCGCCTCGCTGAACGAGCTGCATCTGCACCGACCTGTCCAGGAGGCCGACCTTGCAAAAGGGCTTGTGCGAGCGAGGGCAGGTAGAGTTGCGGCAGCCTTCCAGCTCGAGTTGCATCGGCAGATGACGCGGCCGCCGGTGGGCGACTTGGGGCGGCGATCGACGCTACGGCAGTACTCCTTGCGCGTGAGGGCCTTGCCCCAAAGTCTGGCGCCGCCTTGGCCGCCCCCCTCATGGGCCCCTCCTACGCCCCCACCTCCCCGACCACCTCCGCCGCCTCCTGCCCCTGCCTTCGGGCGCCCCGAGCCCGCCAACTGCGGGCGCGGCTGCGCGGCGGACGAGCGCAGCGCCATCTGCCACTGCGACCTCTGCAGCTTGTTGCGGCGCCTGTCCTCGAAGTCCGCCACGAAGAGCTGGGTGGGGTCATCCAGGAAGAAGTTGCGAGGCATCCTGAGCCACGCCGAGGGGTCCTCTGGGCCCCTCGGTGCTTCGCACGCGAACTTGATCCTATCCCAGTTCGGGTTGTCGTCCGAAGCAGCTCGAGCAGACGCGAACGCAACGTCCAGAACCCCTCGCACCAGCTGCCCCAAAGCTCGCACCGTACGCTGAAGATCACCTGGGGCGGCCACGCGTGGTCAGCCTCGTCATTGAGCTTCATGAGGGTTTCAGCGGCGTCCACTTGTGACTTGTAATGCGCGTGGCCATAGAAGCACGCCCAATCCCATGATTCCCCCTTAGCGTCTTGGATCCACTGCGGCACCGTCGTGGCGCGCCCCAGCCTGTCTCCAGCTTAGTCCTTGGGCGGCGCAAAATTGCCCGATTGCCCGGGGAAGATGGCGCAGCTGAGGCAGCAGCCAGGGAGGTGCGCGCGGTCTCGCCCCCCACGTTGGAAGGCCGCCAGACCGCACGCGATGGCGTTGGCAATGTTCACCGGGAACTTGATGGACCTCACGGACGGGCGCGCTTTCTGCCCAGCCGATCTTTGCCCACGAAACGCGTCTTACCCAGCAGACCCGGGCAGAGCGTCACGTGGAAGGTGTCGCAGCCGCGCGCCAGGTAGATGAGCTGCCCCTCAGCCCACCCGATGCTCGCCGGCGCGCCCTTGGCCCTTGGCCGCACCACCTGACTCCTCTGAGTGCCTGCTGGCCCTCCCAAGCTCACACACCAGCATATCCAGGCCCATGCCGATCTCGGCAATGGGCTGCGGCCCCGCGAGCATCGTCTCCTCCATAGGCATGGATGACGCCCCCGCATGCCACCCCCGAGGACTCGTCGCAGCTGCAACGAACGATCTCGTGCTCTCACGCCCCCCAGGCGCCGACGCCCCCGTGCCACCCGTTCCCCAGAACGAGAGGGGGTCTAAGCGAGGCGGAGACGGCCTGGCAGCGGGCCTCTGGCCGAACCCGACGAAGCCTAGCCCTGGGGGCGACGCTGGGGGTGGAGTCGCCGCCCCCGGCGGGGGGGCTGCCGCGGGCGGAAGGGTGGCCAGCGTTGCCTCACGATTCTCCTGGACGCCTCCCGCGCGCGGCCCCCCCCCCCCCTCCTCGCTCGAGCTCCTTGCACCAGGCCGCCTGGCAGGCACCCCTGGAGAAGGCTCAGTCCGATGTCACTGACCACTCCCTCGAGTGGTGCATCCGCGGCCTCAACAAGCTCCGTCAGGAACTCGAGAGGACCCGCGCCGACATCGGCCGCCATAGCACCCCTCGCGCTCTCATCGGACTGGCCCCGAGCTCTCCTGAGCAAGTACCCCTCGATGCGCGCGGCCCTCGGGCCCGCTCGACGCTGCGCCTCATCCTTCTCCTTGGCTCGCCTCAGCCTCTCGTCGAGGTCGCCCTTCACGCTCTTCCTGGTCGGCGTGGCGCCCCTGCTTCTGGACCTCGCCCACCTCGCCAAGTGGCGTCGGCTCCTGTTGTGCACGATCGCGGCTACGGACGCGTGGCTTAGACTGTCGCACTCGTAGTTCGCGCCGTCGCCGTAGTTAGACAGGAGCGAGGCCACCCCCTACTTCCAACAGACGGCGGGGGGCTGCGCGCTGATGAACTCGTCGAGCAGCTCCGACCTCGGCACTGGTAGAACGCCGTCAGGGATGGAGAAAGTGGCATGTAGTCCGACCGCCCCCACATCCGCCCCCGGGTCGTTGTCTTCTGCACCTCGGGGTGGGGCCTACGAACATGGCTGGGAAGCAGTAGTAGGCCCGCCAGCCGGCGGCCGCATCGGCCATGGGATCCCGCACATGCACCAGCCAAGCCGTGTCGGCAGCGACCTTGGCCGCTGACTGCCCCTGCGCGTAGATGACGGCGGCCTCTCGGGTTCTGCGCCCTGCCTCCTCTAATGCCGCCCGCCGCCCTCCTGAGGCCGCGGCGTGGCCGACCGACTGCGCCAGCCCGCCACCCGATCAGAGCACGCGCGGCACGGAGAGCGAAGCCGTCCTGTGGTCTTCTCGCGGAAGCAATTAGACCAGGCACACTTCCTCTGACCTGCTTGGGCTTCCTAAGACAGGGCGTGAAACGGGCAGGCCGTGAACGATCGAGTGCCATTCAACTCCGGAGACTCACGCACATCGCGGAGATGGCGGTGTCCTCGACCAGCATCAGCACGGGCTCCCTTCTCGCTGAGTCTCGACAGCCTTTGGCACATAGCACCTGCACGCACCTGGCGGTCCTGAACGCGATCCTGTCGGCCTCGCACACGTCCACACTCGGCTCAGACTCTGCCTCCGAGCTGGGGCCCATCGCTACCGCATTGGCCGAGCCCTCGCGCTGGCGCGGATGCCTCCATCTCCGAGACGCACAGCACCCGCATGCTCTCCTAGCGAGCCCCGGGGCTCCCCGACACATCCAAGAGCAGCATAGTCCGCCCCCCGTCCTGGCCCGTCCTGCCGGCGCGAGGTTGGCCAAGTCCGACACGTTGGTCGAGGAGGTAATGACCGACGACGCACGACGCACCCACGTGGACCATGGGCCTGTCTCCCGGCGGCAACGTGCACGGCGTCGCCGAGCAGAAATGCACCAGGCCGATACCCTCGTCATTTCGCGTGACCTCCAGGTCAGTCTTGAGGTGCCGGTGCGAGCTGCCCTTGACCTCCTTGAAGCGATGGGCGCACCCGTGGCGGGTGGCGCGGCTGCCTTTGATGGGCCCCTGCTCCAGCCGCGCCACCGCCCCGCCCGACTTGATGATGAGGTCGTTAGGCATCATATTATCCGAGCTGCCTCCCCTCGCCCCCACTACATCCTTGACGTAGTCTGCGTCGACGGCTTCGGCTTCGTCTGGACCACGCCAAGTCAGGGCAGCGCTCGGCTCACCGTCCAAGGCGACTTGCACGTCGTGGCCCGCCTTGCCACCTTCGGCGGAGCCGCGCGCAGTCACGAAGACGAACGAGCAGTACATCCAAGCCGTGCGCAAGACCCAGGAGGCAAGGCTGATCATGAAGCCGAGGAGGGCGATCACGCCTGCTGCAGCCACGCTCAAGGCGAGCCAGTGGAGCCGCGCCCAAATATACTCCCCCATAGCATTCAACATGCCCATGAGGAAAGCGATCCACTTGTGGAACACAATAGCGCCCAGCGCGTACCCGACCTTCTCGCCCAGCCATTTGAGCGCCGCTTCGAACCACACGCTGGCCACTGCAAGCCCGCCTGGCTCGGCGCTAACCTTCTCTGGTACGGCTTCGGGGGGGCGGTCTGGAGGTGGGGGCGCATCCTCATCGGCCACACTCTCGCCTCCTCCAGCCGGCGCCTCCCCTGGCGGCGGCGGCGGCGCCTGCGCCCGCTGCGAGCAAGTGGCGTCGCCCGCCGACCGAGGCGCCGCCACAGCTGGACGCCGCTGTGGGGCGGGCGGCTGCTGCTCGCTCGCCTGGGGTCGCTCCGACTCTCAGCATCGCCCTCTCCTCTGGCAGCAATCCGGGCACGCCTGGCGCCACGGGCTGCGTATCCGGGGGCGGGCTCAGCACCACGCCGTGCTCGTAGTAGTGCGCGAGGTAGTAGAATTCCTCGCGGCTGGTGGCGCGCCCGCCCGAGACGGCCATGGCTGGCGGCGGGTTCGCAGTCGAGGGCGCCTCTAGCTCTGGCGCCGCCGCCTCCTCCGAATGCTTCGCCTCCACGGGCAGCACAAGGTCGACTGGCTGGCCTTCCTCAGCCTCCTCTGCGCCGCTGCTCGCCGCGCCTGGCTCCTCTCGCGCGCGGCCCTCGCTCGGTCCTGGCGCATAGCTGGCAGATGCCGAGAAGGTAGCCGACAGCCCTACGCCCAGGGAACCATCTAGCCACCCGAGCGCGGCCACCAGCGCGGTGGAGATCACACACTCCAGGGAGACGTGCCGCATCACACGCACCTCCCTGCTGCCACTGCCCCTTCAGGCCGCGGGCGCCTGGAAACGTCCGCCGCGGACCGCGGGGTTCCCCTCCAGAGCCCCCGCCAGCACTGGAGGGGGGACCTGACCCAGCCACTACCCAGCACTCTTCGGACTGCTTGGCTGCGCCTCCCGCTGAGCCAGCGAGCTATGGCCCCGCCTGCCCACCCCAAAAGAGAAACTGGCCTCACTATAGGCCTTGAGCAAAGAGCACGGAGAGAGGAAGAGAGGGGAGGCTGCGAGAGGTGGGAAACCTGGTCTTCTAGCGAACGTCTAAAAATAAGAAGAGGCGCCATGAAATCTGGGGAAATATAATGGCCCACTCCATGATATCCACCCCCCCCCCCACGTAGTCCTCACCCACCTTTTCGCCGCCCCCTTCTCCAACGACCCAGGTCAGCCAGGGCAC